CAATCAACGAAATCTTATAATTTAAGTATAGACAGTGTAATTTGTGACCGAGAGAGGTTTCACGCGCAGTGACAAAAAGATGGTCGACCGTTTGTTTACTTAGGAGCGAATGCAGATCGCTGTACGCTATAAAATGAGGAAATTATTAGCTGCTGTGAGACGGTGGCGTACGGTTAAGGAACGTCATAAACGTCGGAAACAACCAAGAATTGTCATTAGAAGATAATGACCACAGGTTTAATTGCAGACGCGCAGGGAAGCGATGGTCCAACCAGATAACGATTCTAGTGACTCGAGGAAGTTGACGAATGGCGCCGACACCTAATTGAATTTTAAGGAATGCATCTATATTTCCATTTAGTGAGGTACGCGTTGAATGAATTTCATCAACTTTTCCTTAGAAATGTAGAAATCATAATGATTTTTCAATGTCTAGTTACTTTCCACTCAAACTGTATTATAGGGTTGGTGGGAAGGGTGCGAGGGACTTTTATTCCAAAAGTACTGACGATATATTAATTTTGTTAATATAGGGATTACATTATATATGAAATTATGCGTGGACGGTCGGATGGGCCCTTTTTTTGATCTTGAAAATGATTTTTAAGATCTCAAAAAGGAAATCGTTGCAAATTATGCAGTCTTAAATATATTTATTTTCAATAATAATTTCAGTGATTTATTGTTTAAATAAATTGTTATTTTTTAACACGTTCACTCATTTTGCGATAATTATTATTTTAATTAAGCCGATTTTGGCAATTAACTCTTTCAATGTATTAATTGAACGATTTAAAAAGTTGTAAAACAAGGAGCAACTTAACTAAAGAAGCTTGGGAAAATCACGAAAAAGATTGACTTTTAATACTGGAAATGGGTTTAAATCCTTAATATTTAAGATGAATTTAGTTAATTTAACTTTAAATTATTTTATAGAATCAATATTAAAAATTGTTTTTAAAATTGACATTTTTCAAAAATATTGTTAGCACGGTGTATGTTTATTAGCATCATCGCTGGTCTCGAATGCAGCTAATGAATGCTTTGAAAATTTCGTCAAACAACCAAATTTTCTCATAAAATATCCGAATGAGAATAAAAGGAATATTTACGGTAGCATAAAATAATTTAAAGTAAATATTAAGGCTTTACTCATTCATTTGATTTATTTTTAATAAAAACATTTTTTATGAACTAAGAAGTAACAATTTGGAAGAAAATACAAGAGAAGAATCGAAAAGCAATTTGTAGAAGGCAGAATTTATATTCTCTCTTCTTGCTTAGTACAAATAGTGCATTCTTTTTGATTTTGCAGGAGTTACACACTTATTTCTACTTACGAATTTAGCAGTAAGGAGTTTTAAACTAATTTCTAGAAAATAAACTAAAAAAAGTTGCGGGAAAACCGGAAGAATTGCGCACTAAAAACTGTGAACTAATTTATAGAAAGCGGCAAGAGTTGAATTACGTACCGAAAACGCGATAAGAATGGTGAAGTAAAACCTGTAAACCGATTTCTGATAACAGCGAGAATTGAGAACTAAAAAGCACAGAAAAAGACTCGTTCTAACTGAAATATTATCACCAACATTAAAATTAGATTCATTTTTCTTCATTGATTTTCGATGCCCCCGAAAAAAAAATAGGTAGAAGTAATCAAAATTCGGATAAGTTAATGAACGTACGAAAATATATTAGAGATTTTTGAAAATGATAACGTTACTGATGTGTTATAAGAGCAAGTTTTCCACATTTAAACAATTTTTTCTAGTTGTTTTTTAGAGTAATGATCTGAGTTGAGGTCATTAAATCCCTAATGTTTCTGGGGGAAGGAAAATATATAAATGCGGATTTTCCAATGATGTAGATCATTACCTAAGGAAATCTCCTCGAAAATGAAAAAAGAAAAAGTTTCTGATGAGAATTTAAATTTACGTAATATAATTTGCATTTAAAGAATATATAAATGTAATATTTTGCCTAAACTCTGTCCGTAATTTTACAGAGAAATGTCTGAAACGTTTCTGTTGTACGGGTGAAAGGTCTAAAGTTATTTATTTGTACGCTATTCTATAGAAATAAAATGTCCCGTTCGGCTATTTATCTGTAGCAGAATATCTCAATTTTGTCTGTTTACAGAAAATATGTTACGTTTGTCTGTTTTTATTATATAAAAATAGTTTAAAGTTCGTCTGTCTGTCTATACGGGGAAAAATGTCAATTTTTTTATATTTGTTTGCCTGTTTTTTCACAGGGGAAATCTCGATATATTTTCTTCTATCTGTTATTTTACAGGGGGGGGGGAATTCTCGCTTTGTCTTTTTGTCTGCTATTTCGGAAAAATCTTAAATTTGTTTTTATTGTTCTATAGAAGAAAATTACAATATGTCAATTTGTTTATTATTCCATTAAAATACCTTGGATTTTCGTGAATACAGGCTACGTGAAAATAGCCAGACAGGAAAACTTGATTCTTTTTTTCTTAGGAAATCATACAATAATTTAATATTAATACGTGTGCATCAATAGAATTGTCATTTATTGATTTTTTATAAAAATACAAAAATAAAAAGAAATTACCGAGTGACAAACGAAAATTCTCTGAAAGCGCGATGCAAATGAATGGAATTCATCAGACACGGGACAAGGTTGGGTCAGAGTATTTAATTAAGCCCGGTAATGAATTCTTTTAATATTTTCAAGTAGACTTATCCGGAAACAACAGAAGACATCTTATGTTTAAATAAAAGATGTAATTCTATCTTGACTGTGCATTCATCTAGCAATCTTACATCTTTGTTACGGTGCATTGACTCCATCTGGCTTCTTTCTCATAACGTGTCCCCTTGTTTCTTCTTTTTTTCATTTGTTCACATTCTTTCCGTTGACCACAACTTGAAAAATTATACGGTAAAACTTGTCTAAAACGGAACCTGCCAAAGCGGAAAAAGTATTTATTTTGAAATTATCAAGATTTATTTATATTATTTATCTCTTATTTTAAATCTAGTGATTAAATTATAATAATAAAAAATTATAGAATAATAAGTACAACGAAACCTGTGTAAACCGGACTTGCACGGTAGCAAATATTTTCCGGTTTGGCAGGTTTCACGGGTTCTTTTTAAACACAGAAAATCGCTCCATTCCTAAGAACTTTTCCCGTTTAGACAGATTTCCGTTTTGGGCAGGTTTTACTACATATAAAGTGTACAGTAAAACCTGTCCGAAACGGAACCCGACTAGAACGGAAGCCTGTCTAAACGGAAAAAATCTTCAGAACGATTCGATTTCCTACGTTAACGAAACTACCAAGCCGGAAAAAGTTACGATTTGGTTTTAAACAGGTTTTACTGTACCATAAAGATTCTTTTAAATATTCCTTAACTTTTTTAGAATTTTTATAAGTAACCACGGTATCAAACTGCGTGCCAAAAGCTCCTTAAACTATCTTAAAAGTTTCTAAAGTTTTATGTCAAACGATTTCCAAGATACTCGCTCACAGACTGTGCCAGCATAATCTGGTATCTACATAAAATTACCACCAGGTAATCTATTCTCGTTAAGCTAATTTCATAGTGAAAAAATAAAGAGGAAGAGCACGACACCCGCCGAAAATTTAAACAACGAACCCGAATTTTTAGGGATATTTTTATCTAATTCAATACCCCACCCCAATAAAGAATAACAGGATGCTAACGTTGTCGTGTTACGACGGGGTGTTGTACATTACACCTATAACACGTGATGGGCGAGGGAAAAAATGACCCCAGTCGGGTCAGCATACTGTGGTAATAAGTGGGTTGATGAGACGGCCCGGGGTAGTTCTTGTCACTTCACCATTATCTGGCCTCACCCGCGAAGTTACTCGACTGCTAAACGTACCCAAATAAGTCTAAAGCACCCCACTAAATCGGCCCCCAAAAATTATATTAGTAAATAAACACGACACGTGCCCTTTCCCCCAATAGAATCACATCCCGCGTACTTCTAAAAATATAATTTGGTAAATTTAGAGCGAGTTTATTTATTTTTTGGCCGAGGTGACGAGAAGAGTGAGCTTTTTTAGGTACTTTTAACCAAAATGGGGAGTGGGCTAGGTCAGAAACGGGTGGAGTTAAAAGTTCGCACCTGCAGTTAAATAATCACGTAAGCAGACAATTGAAGAAACTTATGATGACGCGAATGGGGGCTTTTTTAAAGCAGAATTCTTAAAACAAGTTTCCTATTAATTGGACTTAAAAACAATCATTTTAACTCGAAACCTGCCTGGACGGAAAAAATTCTTTCTGTGTTGAAGAAGTTCCGTACCGTGCGAGTCCGGTTTACACAGGTTCAGCGCCAACAAAATTTAATTATTTCCCTTCCCACGTCAAACGCACGCGATAAAAAATGAAAAATAAAAATCATTTATGATTATAAAATAAATAAAATAAATAATTACAATTTAAAGACGACGACGACGACGACGACGATAAACAATAAAAATGAGAAAATTATTATTGTGGCGCCATCTATGAGAAGATTTAGGCATTTATTCCTTGTAAATGTCATTTTCTCTAAATACGGTTTATTGACGAATTAAATTCTGCCGCAAAAGAATATCGTGGCGGCTTCTACTGTCTTTACATCGAATTTGTAAGATTTTGTTGTAAAATTGAAATGAATTCATTTATAATAACAATAATTACATTTTATTTCCTTGTTAAGGGTAATACAAATTTCACAATAACAAATATTATTTCGGTCTACACGATTAATATACATATCACAAATAAGTGTATTAATTATAACATAACACGGTCTAGCCAGACCACTTAAATAACAATAACATTATCTGGTGAATTTAGACATTAACAATGATTTAAAACAACAATGTAAATCAAACAATTAAATATTACAAAGTCATTTTTTCAGTGTATTTAACAAAAATATTATAAATTCTATAAGCTTCCTTTCTATCGATATTATTTAAGTTATTTCTGAAGTCTACAGGCGAACTACCGTTACATATATTTATTATATCGTATTGTTTACGCAGATTATTTAGAGATGGGCAATTTTGGAAAAGATGGAGTACGGAAAAATCTTCGGATTGTCATAATTGGCAAGATTATGTAAGTTTTATTAAATATTTATTGAGTGGTAACTGATTAATATACCAGGGATAGGTAGTTGCTTCGATTTAGAGGAAGCCGATCTTTGTTAATTGATGGCGATATTGCGGAGCTTATTGAAAGGGAATGTCCGCATTTCCAGTCTCGATTCCGATACTCCGAATGTGTTTAATAGTCTACGAAATTTATATCGCCGTAATTGCTTATTATTGTCGTTTCTGCCGCGCTTTCATTTCTTGTTGTAAAAATCGTCACTTTTATATTTGAGTCTGTAATAGAATTTTATAATTCGTTTAAGTAAATGAGGAAAGGTCCGAGTACGGCTTGTTTCGTGTCGAATGGCCTATCCGGGTATTGTATTTTCTAGCCGAAATAATTTACGAAGAAAGTAGATACGCTCGTATAAATAATCCGAGGCCCAAATTGGGCTCGCGTAATAGACAATAGAGTTTACTATAGTATTATAGAGTTTCGGATGGATATTCGAGTTTGATGTTTTCGTAGTTGAACATAAAAATATGAGATTATCGATTGCAATTATGTCGTATGGGTTTTGAAAGTTAAATTCCGATCGAATTCGATCCCCACATATTTGACCTCGTTGGCTATTTGCAATAATAAATTTTTGAGTCTTTTTCAGATAATTTTTTATTTTTACGGAAAATGACGATGTTAGTTTTCTCGGGGTTTATTTCCAGGTAAATCGTTTTAATATAGTTGTTGAGTTGATTAATTTTACGTTGTAAAGATATTTTATTTGGAGCTATAATAACGAGATCGTCGGCAAAAAGGATGTAGTGGAAGGAGCTATTATTAATTTCAATGTCATCGGAAGGATTGTTAAATAATTTGTCGATACCCAGTAGATAAAAATTAAATAAATACGGAGACAGTGGGTTTCCCTGGAGTGTTCCGCGTGAAAGGCTTAAAGAAAGTATAAGGGTATTACCTGGCTTAATTTTGACAGTATAATTTATATATAGCTGGTTTATTGTAGACGTAAATCTGTGACTAGCCCCATTAACTTTTAATTTGTTTATTAGTAAAGGAGTATAAACTGAATCGAAAGCCTTTTTAATCTCAATAAATGCGGCGTAAACTTTCCTTTGTTTTTTCATAAGATGTAGTTGGATTATCATTAATAGAATAAAAATGGCAGTTTCGGTTGCTTTATTTTTTGTGAAGGCGTATTGAAATTTAGCTTCTAAGTCATTGATTTTAGTCCGTTGCTGGAATCTGTTTGCCGTCATAGTTATGTGGAGAGGACTCGTCGCTCTTTTTGTACAGCATTGTTAGAATAGCGGTGTTCCAGGAGTCGGGAAAAGAAGTTGTCTTGTACACGATATTGAAGATATTAAGTAATTTTAATTTAGAGTTATTAGGCAGCATTTTTAAGAATTTTGTAGAAATGTTATCGTGACTTGGGTTTGAGTTGCTTTTTCTTTTTTGGACAACATCGTTTAATTCAACGATTGTGAAGTCGGCGTCCAGGTAACCATTGTAGATTATTGCATTATTTATTATTGAAGGATTTAAATAAATTTTCGAGTAACGTTGATAGAAGGCTTTCCGGGTATCAAAGTTAATAATTGCTGAGTTTTCGTTATTGCGAGATGTAGGTCGACGTAGACCGAAATAGTTTGTTGATCTTGTTATAATTAATTAGATTTAATTCGAGCTTTCTAAAATAATTTTTCTTTTTTGTCTTTATTAAGTTATTGTAGACTCTTTTAACTACTTTGTAGGCATTGAAATTGGTATCATTAGAATTCGATCGGAATATTTTTAGTTTAGCTTGTTTTTCTCTTTTCATTTTGTAGCGATCAAAGTCAAACCATCTTTGTCCAGGACCATTGTAATGCCTCCTTCTGCCGTTATTCTTATATATGTAATCGTTCATTAAATTTATCATTAAACTGTATATTTCTGCACTATTGTTATCCGGAATGTCTTCGAATCCATTTCCAAATTCATTAGCGTATCTATTTATTTTGTATTGTATTCTTTGTTTTTTATATGAGGAATTATCAGAATTTTTTTTCAAAAAGAGTAAAAAAGTTAACTTTGTGGGAAAATGATCAGAGATATCAAAATTAATAACGGTAAAATCCAGGCAGCAATCTAATAATAATTCCGAGCGTATGGTAAAGTCAATAGATGAGTTAAGCGTGTAAATTCCGCGGGTATATCAGATTTAATTCTACCATTGATTATATACATTTTGAGATTAATTATTGCATCGATTCATTTTTGTCCGAGTCTGTTTAAATGCTTATCCTTCGAGAGACGGTTGTTTTGTATTAAAAAATTATTACCTTTATATTTAGAGTCCATATTATCCGCAATTCTTGCATCGAAATCGCCCAAAATTACGGAATAAGGAGTCATATTTTGCCAGATCTCCATTTGTTTAGTTATTTCGTTCAAAGCTATTATGTCGTCGGGTGGAATATAGGTAAGCGTTAAAGTTATTAAATTATTCGTAATATTAGCAAGATTAAGAATTGAATAAGGAGCAGAATGAAATTATTAGATTTTTTTGTTTGTAAAATTTTGCAGAGACCTTTTTTCATTAATATGCAAAGTCCCCCTCTTGGGCGGCCTGCACCTATAAGTTTTTTTTTTTGCCAAAGCTGACTCTATTGTAAATTTTTCAAAAAAGGTAGAATTCAAAATATATATAAATGGTTTGCTGTATATTAGTTAATATGACGATTTTAGTCTCTGTAATCCGAAAAATATTCTTGGTAGACAAATCTCACAGCAATCTTATTGGCAAATTAAATTTATTTTGTAAAGACTACATCAAATGCATTTCGGGCTGGTCTAAGAGGGACTGGAAAATATTAGACCAGCCCGAAATGCATTTGATGTAGTCTTTACAAAATAAATTTAATTTGCCAATAAGATTGCTGTGAGATTTGTCTACCAAGAATATTTTTTGGATTACAGAGACTAAAATCGTCATATTAATTAAAGGTAGAATTGTAGAGTATTTCAGAAGCTATCCGGATTTCAGTCGTGGCAATAATATCCAGATCATACTTAGAAATAAAGGCATCTATCTGAGGTATTTTGTATTTAAGTCCTTGACTATTCCAGTTTATAATCGAGAGGCATTGATTATTAGGGTAGAGTTTGCGGAATTGAGTTTTATCTTGTTTATTAATATGTTATTTAGTTAAATTTGCTATGGAAGAAACGTATCTACACGCACCGGTTTTCCCGTGTTTAAACTACAAGTTAGCTTTTCACGATCAATTACTAAGATGTCATTTCGCAATTTTACCCGTGGGTTTTGTTTACGTAATTCATAAAAATTTAGCAGTAGATGTTTCCTTCTACTTCTTGAGTTGTTAGTTAAATAAGGAGAAATCTGTATGTTTTTCCATTCCTCTAGTAGATTTTGTTGTTTTTTCGTACGAAGGCAGGAAAAACAGATGTCTAGTTTGATTATTATTAAACGTTATTCTTATTGTTAACTTTGGCGTTTTCGATAGTTGGACTATCTCTAGTATATTGTCTCGAGTTATATTTATATTTAATACATTAGTAATAAATTTCAACATTTCTGCTCTTGAAATGGTTTTGTAGTTTGGGTAATTGTACATTATTATGTTGTTATAGCGATGTTCGTTTATTAACACGTCCATTTTAAATTGGATGAACTCTTTGTCCATTTGTAATTTTGGTTAAATTTACACTAGGTATCCAAGATGACGGCGCTTCCTGTAGCCTCGAACAAGATCGCTCCGCGACGATTGACGTAGAGGGAGCTGTTTACATATTTGTGACGAATTAATTAATTATGTAAATTATCGAAGGATAACGTGTTTGCGGGTGCGTTTGGTGGCGACGCGAAAACGAAAGGAGTTATTACGAATTTTCAAAGTCGAGGTTTTTATAATAAGGTTTACTTTTTTGTGTTTTTCTCTCGTTGTTAATTTGCTAATAATAAGAATAATAATGGGAAATTTAGAAATTAACTGTGAATGTTTTTGGTTAAAATGCGCAAGTAGGCAATTTTATAAACTTTTAGAAGCGGAATATGATGTAAATTTAGGTTTAGATACCAGAATTGGTAGTAGCGACTTCGAGTTTGCCGTAAGTTTGGGCATTCGGCACGTCGAGGACGTTTGTCAAATATGTTCGAACAAGTGTAAAATAAGGTACAGATGCGATAGGAAATCGTGTGTTATGAAGTGCGAAAAATGTCGGCGGAACAACAATTCGGCCACCTTTAAAGGAAAATGCGGCAAAATTTCTTGGGCGGCGATATTGTCGTTTTTATGGCACTACGTTCCGGAAAAATAGCAACGCGGAAAGAACCCGAGAGTGTACCCGCCGCTCCAGTTTCGAAAACGAGAAGAAAGCAAAAAAAAAAAAAATGGAAACAAAGTCAAGGCAACAGATGAAATCAAACGTCGTCGCAAAAAAACAGAATCCAGCGAACAAAATAGAGTAAGTAATTTTTTAATTATTATTTTGTAATTTGATTTCTTTTTTTCTTTTTCGCGGCGGCTCCGCCACCGCCACCGAGTTTGTCATCTCGTTTGCACGCATGCGCGCGTGCAAACAAAAGATGGCTACCGAAAGCACCGACCGAATCTGCGACCGCCGCCATCTTGGATACCTAGGGTAACATTAACCATTCCAAAGCACTGAAGTATAGGTGTCTGGGAGTTTATCAGTTATATTAGTCGAGGTGTGATCAGAAATAGTTGACTCACATGGGTTGTCGTTTTCATTAATCTGCGATGAATTTAAATTATAATTCTTATCACTAATGGATTCTTCATAGAGATTTTTTTCGGAAGTGAAGTTAATCTATTAACGAATTGGGATTTGAAGAAGATGGCTGATTCTTCTTAGTATGCAATTTGGCACGATTCAATGGAGTCTACCTCTCTTTGCTGGAGACAGTTGCATAATTATTCTTGTTATTACCGATATAAATTGTCTAGCTGTTACCCGCGGCTTTGCCCGCGCAGATTTTGTAAGCAAACTCCATTTATATTCAGTATTTTTCAACAATCATAGTAATTGTTATATAACACCTACCGCCGAGAATCAAACGAACTATTTTCAATTTGATCAATTTTCTGGAGCATTTACAATCGTTCTATAATCGAACCAATACGTAATAACAAATTCGAATTGAAAACAGTTCAAACATTTGATTAAAAAATCGAAATATATCAAAATATTTATAACAACGTCCGAAATGTTATCAATTTAATACATCTAAGTACCCAATGAAAATTAAACGTTGTTGAAAACGAAAAATCGCATCTAAAATAGTACAGTAGAAGCCGTTCTTCGGGTTAAGCCTTAATCCTCTCCCTCTCCCCCCGCGGGGAATTTCGAAAAATCCCTTCTTAGTGCGTGATTTCACGACGTACCCTAACTGTATACCAAATTTCACCTGTTTAGGTTCGGCGGTTTGCTCTGGGCGATGACGAATCAGTCAGTCAGTCGAGACAAGTGATTTTATGTATTTAGATTAATTGATAAATTAGGCTTTTTGTAGTAGTAAATAATCAAAAAAACAATAAACTTTTATTCTTAGTATCAGTGGCCAGGTACAAAGGAAAACACGCCAGCCAATAAATTCATTTATTAGAAAAAGTGTTTTTTACTTCTCCTCAAAAGTTTCTTTTTTTGCATTGCACGCTTCACATAATAAACATTTTTTAAAATTATTTTTAATATTTATTTTATATAAAATTTAATATATTTCATTGAATCTTCTTTATTTAATATATATTTATTTTTATTTGCTTTATAATAATTTTTTATATAAAAACTTAAATTCATAAAATAGTTAATTAAAAATTAATTTCTTAATGAATTTTAATAAATTTTATTAATAAAATATCGATTTTTAAATACTTTTTTCATCTCGAACTTTAATTTATTTAATTATTTATATTTTAATGCCACATACAATCGAAAGAATAAATCATATAAGGACCCAATTGATGAAAAACGTGGCCCTTTTGTTATGTGACGACATCTAGTGCGTATTTTTAATACTAATCCATTTAAAATGTCTTCTGTCTTACTCAGCTGGTGGCATCTAGTGTTTATTATTAACACTAATTTATATAAAAATAAATTATATTTTAAAATTCTTAATAATTCATTAAAAACATTTATTAAATAAACAAATTTAATTATCGTTCTTTAAAAATTAATTATAAATTATAAATACTATATATAGTAAAATTTTTCTCCATATTCAGAAAGCCCGTGCGTTACCCTTGAAGTAATTACGAAAGTTGCCACAAGGGTAAACTGATCGAATCGGATAGACATATTATCACTTGTGACGTAATGAATCTTGAAATGCTTTGAATCTTATTGGTTCTGTAGGATACAGAAAAACCTGTTATAAATGGGTGAAGTCAACTAATAAGGGTGGACCATTTCTGTTTTAACCTGTTATAAAATATGGATTCTTTTCCACCCTTCTTCCGAACGTCGATCGATGGAATGTATTCATAAATAGTCGCTAGTCACGGAGGAACCCAAATTTACAAAGTTAAATGACAAACTCGTGATCACTGCCTTTTGGAATCAGGGTGTAAATTACTTTGATACCCTAGAAAAAAATGCTATCATTTTACGTACATCTTTAGAAAACCAATAAAGACAAAGATGCCAAACATTACAGAGGAAAGAGATCGAGATTCACCAAGACATGAGATTTCACACTCTTGCTAGGACTTTAATACTTCATCCCTGGTTTTACACCCTCAGATTGAAGTTCTCTTTGGCAGAAACCGAGTGAAACTCTCTTGTATGAGACTAAAGGATGGCTAAAAGGTCGAGAAGACGAGTTTTTACCAAAATGTCTCCATAGCCCGGAAAGAGTAAATGGAGAAAATATATTTTATAAGGGGTAATGTTTCAATGATCACTGCGTTTGACTGTTACACATACCAGATTTGGTTGGTCTGTATATTAAACAAACCCATTTATCACCGATCGCGTATTACTTATTGACTCAACCTCCTATAAGATTTGGATTCAGCTTTGTTAATACGAGATATCACCATAGTTTGCATACAATACAACGAACCAATGAAGAGTTCGGATTTATCTCCTAGTATTGTGTACTGTTGTTATTACACTTATTGTTATCAAAGTTTTAAATATTTTATACAATACAACGAACCAATGAAGAGTTCGGATTTATCTCCTAGTATTGTGTACTGTTGTTATTACACATTTGGTTTTGAAAGTTTTAAATATTTTATAATCTAATTTTCAGAATAGTATCTGCTGCTTTTCCCTGCAATCATTTCACTCACATATTTATCGACGAAGCTGGAAATTCTTATGAACCGGAAACGATTATTCCAATATCCGGTTTATTACAGAGTTCAATTGATAATCCTAAAGGCGGTCATCTGATTCTTGCAGGAGATCCAAAACAGTTAGGTCCTATTGTGAGATCAAAATTAGCCACTAAATATGGTTTGGGTAATTATTTTTAATGTTTACTTTCATTTTATTTATTAGAAGTATATAATGTTTTCTTTTAAATAGGTTTGTCACTTTTGGAACGCCTGATGAATATAGAACAAGTGTATGGACGTAAAGAAAATGTGTACAACAAACAAGTACTTACAAAATTATTAAAAAATTATCGANCCCTTAATTAATTAAGGGTGAACATTAGAAAAATTACTTACAAAGGAAGATCTTTTCAGATGCGAATTCTGGATTAATTTGATAATTCAGGACTTATGATTTTATTCCCTTTCTTTGACATATGAGAATGATAAGATTAGAATTATGAGTCTGGTGTTGTCACGCTCATATATCTAATCTCTTCTTAATATTTAATCTATTTTTCTAAGTTAAAAAATAAATTAATAGGGTTTATTATCTGTATTTATGTAGTGTTATACAAGATACAGTTTGTATTTATAATTATTTCATTAATTCAACCACATTTATAATTAACAAGACTTGTCAAGCCTATCTGATAGCGCGCTCCACAAAAGCGAATCAGATATTTTTAAAAATAAATTTATTATAAAATTTAATTGAATACAATATACTAAGCTATAGTCTTTAGTATAGCTTAGTGATCGTAGACATGAATGGAATATAACACTTAGGTAACGAAAGTGAAGTCATTGCGCACAGACCTAACATAAGCACTTGTCCACTGCCGTGAAGCGTGCTAAAAGCCAAATTGAATGTAATTAGAAATTCTATTAAAATATTTTAAAAAAAGAACTTGATATGGAATTGATCTTTCTTCCTCTCGTTATTTAATGTAAAGTTTTCCTCCTCTTTCAGCCAAGAAAAATGCATTTAATTATCAATTTTCCTGCTTAAAACGGAGAAAAATTATGATACCACTTTCGTTACGAGTTTTTACTTTCCAACATCAAAGTATCATTGTTTTGCGATTGAATTTAATTATATACAGTATTTACTTGAAATCGTTGGCGTTCTCCTTACCTGTGTGGCTTTTCTACTTGACGGAGAAGATCACTTCACAGGCTCCAGCAGCATTAAATCTTGACATTTCATTAGATGCAGACACTTAATTACATTTCTTCATCTTTGGTGTAAAACCTGATCATTTTTTATGAGTCGGGTGTTTAGTGTAAATTAATTGAAATGCAAATAACTTAATTAAGTGAGGTTGAAGATAAATATATACAGTATATATATTATTGTATAATCCTGTAATTTTTTACGAATTCGGTGACAAAAAAAAACGAAGAGCTTTGAAATGGCCAAAGGAAAAATGAAAGTAAATAATTTTCACAAAAATTATTTGCATTCTTCTTGTACTAATCATACCAATTAAGAACCAATGAAGTATCGGGTGATGGTAATTAAAGTATCCTTATTTGTCTTTATTTAGCGGTCCAAATGCAATTAAATCGGACGTAATAATATTTTAGGACGTGGAATATCGTAAAATAATTAACACCGAAGTTCACCACTAAACCAACTCACTACTGCATAAGCACACGTGTTGAAGCCAATTTCTGGGTATAAAAGTTGCTATAAATGTTTACTGTAGTACTGTACTAAGAAGGTCTGCATTGTTATCCGTATACAATCAATCACAATCAGATTGTTTGCCACTAACCCAGAAATCCTACTGATCCTTGCATTGATCTTCCTTTTCAGAATGGAAATAGGGAAATACAGTAGAGCATCAATTATCCGACCACCCGATTAACCGTCACATCGGTTAACCGACCGTTCTAGTCGGCAAATTTCAAATGTCCGCTAATGATATGAAATTACAATATTTGGCTATGTCTTGGCTACTTTAATATTATTTTTGTTAAAATTTTTGCGTGTTTTAGCTGGCATCATCGAAGAAAGGCCAGTATTTAAACGAGACTTAATTTTCTAATTATGAGTGGTTGTTTGTTTCGTGAGCAATAAAACAATTTAAAAATAATTTTTAACGATACAATAGCGACGATTATTATTTAAAAAAAAATTGTTAGGCTAAACATCGATGAAAATTCAACGCGAAGTTGGTTAATAGCGATATACTAATAAACTAATTACATGGGATATACTAATATCCTAATATAGTCTACTAATAATGTATCTTTTCCCTTCTTTTCGGTTATCCGATTTTTTCAGTTATCCGACCAACCTGAGTCCCCGATTGAGTCGGATAATCGATGCTCTACTGTAGATGTGTCGTGATCATGGAAGATCCTTGAAGGGACCAAGCACATCTTCACCTCGTTAGAACAGAATAAGACTCATAACTTTGTATTTGGCACGAAAAATCCTCATATTTTTACCAAATTTCACTGCACTCACTTAGCCTGTAGATCCATAATCACATTTATCGTCGGACCATTCTTCTTTAAATAAGCTTGTTCCAATTTCCTCTATGATGATGTCCAAAAGATGTCAGAGAGATTCTGACGTACAGTACAGTTCTGTCGAACAATTCTGTCGTACCCCAACTGCGACAGCATCTAAAGTCAATCACTTTCATGTAAGGTCAATCACCTCTACATATCAGGCATTTTGTACAGTAGTTTCTGCAAAATGTTACTGATAACAGAGTAATAAATGGTGTGTTAATCTGTGTGATTTTTGATTGTGGGGACACAAAAAAGTGTAGTTTATAGAGGACACGTTGAAATTTTAACAGCTTTAAAAGACAATACCATGTTGCACACGAGAAACATCACAGAGGATCAATTACGGGTCGGCCGTTGAACACACTGTTCGTCACTTTCGGGATTTACACTGTCAGAATGATGATTCCATTGAACAGTACCTTCTGCATTGTTAAACTATCTATAGTCCGAGTGTCTTATACAAATAAAATGTTTGTTGCTTGCAGTGCTAAAAGTGCCACAGTGGTGAGTTTTACTATTAATATTTTTACTTGAAAAGTTACTATACTAGATTTTTTGCATTTAGATTGTTAAATATTTTTCTATACGGCGTTGAATAAAAGTACTTTAATTATGAACACCCAATATAACGATGTCTGAAGTGCGATATAAAGACAATTCTAGAGTCTTCAGAGAACACTTAGAAGTAATAAGTATAGTAGTGTAGATTAATGAATTCGAACCAGGGACACTTGGAGACGTGCCCTCTCCTTTTCGTCTCGATTGCCCTTTTCCTAATCCCCAAGACGGACCCGAATAATAGAAAATTCGTGACTTGTAGCATATTCTGTAAATATAAAAAAATCTAATGAACGACATTTGTCTAATGGCCCATGCAATTTCGTCGCATGTTGACCAAAATTCCATTCCTTGTTTTCAAGGCCAAGTTAACACCGAGTGCAACCAGGGGACCGCTGATTCGACGTTGAATCATATGGTTTGAAGCTCCTTGCATCCTTACGATGCTCTTTTTCATAGCTTGTGTCCCCTTTTTCACTCTGCGGGCGCCGCTGACTCGAACGTATGATTAAAATTCAGATGGAAGAATAACAGATAAGAATAAAAGAAAATTATGCATTTAACTGGTATTCTCATTTAACAAACGTTCATATTCTAGACGGAAATAAACACCGGGTAGAAACGAATGATTTAGATCCAAATTACAATTTAAAAACACGTATAACTGTGACTGGACATCCGATAAAAGAAATTATTTCTTTCTATTGGTAAGTACTGTACAGTACAATAAAATATTAATACTGAGTGAATGAATGTGTTTAGAACGAAAAAATTCTATTTCACACATAAATAATCGTCTTAATTTTAATTATATTAATATTTGAAAATTATAATATATAATATTATTAATAATTTTATTAGGAAATTTTTCTTACTATCAACAAAAAAGCCATTGTTTTTTAAAGATTAATCAGTTTGATTAATATCTTTAAACATAAAAGCAATTCCGTCCTTAATTGTTGCTTATTATCTATCTTCTCTAAGCAAGAACAATTACATACTTTATCTATATAGATCGTAATATCCAAGGACAGTGTCAAAAGTATATTCAACCCATTTAGTTCAGCTAAAAGTAAAAGTTATTTTCTTTTCTTTTTAATACATCATCCATGCGAGAAGATAGTCTGGGTCATTTATAGTTCAAATGATTTCGAATTTCTTAATATTTCTTGGAAAAAAGTAACAATAACGCTTCATTATTGAATGTCGCGCAGTGTCCCATAGCTTAAATTTAATTTTTAATGCTTAATTTATGTTTAAATCTTCAAAAAATTCTTTTCTTACATTTCTTAAGATTGTAGCTTATGCTAAAAGTATTAGCTTAATCTATATTAATTTTAATTATATTACAATTAATTACAAATAATATTTAAGAAACCGTGTTAAAACCAAAAAAAGTACATTGTTAATTTCCACGATGATGATAATTTATTGAATTAAACGATTACGAAATGCTTACAACCTTAATCGTTTAACTATAACTGATGTAAACTAACGTATCATTTAGTAAACTGAATCAAAAATAGATATTTTCAACAAAAAGCAGCAAATTTAAGCACTTATAAAAAATATTCATAAATTTGGTTATCACTATACAAAAATACATTAAATAATAATATAAATCTCTTCATAGATTACCTAAAATTTATTGTCTATGCAATAATAACTT